ATTAAATCCAGGACTTTTCCTGTCATAAATTAAGCATTTGTCTCTTAGCTGTATCCTTAGATTGAAAATTTTAAAATTTGAAAAATTATTTAGAATAAATACAACATGTCCTTTTGCTATGAAATGAAAAACATTGCATTTCCCCACTTTATTGAAAGTTAAGGTTAAGTAGTGAGTTATAGAAAAAAATGAGGATTAAAAGAAAAACTGCTTTTAATCAACCTTCCCTGTTCATCACACAACTTCTGTTGGAAATAGATATGTTCAAAAATGATGTATATTGTGTTGAATAGAGTTAAGTGGCTGAGAATGACCTTGAACTTCTCATCCTGCCTCCATTTCCTATTGGAATCATAGGCATGTGCTATAGAACATTTTAGAAATTGGTTAGACTAGGATATAGACAATACATGACTGGTTTTTAGCATACATTGACTGAATTAAATGAGTACATTTATTAAGCAAGATTTTGATTTTCCCCTGTGTCTAACAAATGTGAAAACATTTAATTATGAGTTAACTTTTTCTTTTTGAAACAATTTTGCTTTATATCTTGGGCTGGCCTAAACTTTCTATGGAGTCTAGATTGGCCTTGATTTCTTGATTTTCCTGCCACAGCATCCCCACCATTATATATTTATGTATATCTATAAAAAAGCACCATGCATGCTTGCTCATCCATCCGAGTCCGTCCGTCCATCCATCCTAGATCTAGGTTCTCATGCATTGCAGGCTGGCTGGCCTGAAATTCACTGTATAGCCAAGGGTGACCTTGAATTCCTTGTCTTCCTTCCTCTATTTGGAACACCATTGGCTTTGTTTTGAGGCAGGGCCTTATATAGAAGCCTGGGGGTCGGGTGTTGGTGTCGCACGCCTTTAATCCCAGCACTTGGGAGGCAGAGGCAGGTGGATCTGTTAGTTTGAGGCCAGCCTGGTCTCCAGAGCAGTGCCAGGACAGGCTTCAAAGCTACACAGAGAAACCCTGTCTCCAACTCCCCCCACCAAAAAAAAAAGCCTGGTTGTCTTGGTAACCACTATGTAGTTCCAGTAAGCCTTGAACTCTTGATAATCCTACCTCAGCTTTCAAAATGAAGGGATTACAGACTATCATACACCACTCCTAGTTTGCTAATATTTTTATTTTTCACTAATAATTTTAATCTTTAAAAGTTTTTTTTTTTTGTGTGTGCATGTGTGGGTTTCTTCTTTGTAGGTGTTCTTGGAGGCCAGAGGAAGCTATCGTCTCCCTCTTTGCCTTACTGCTTTTGACATGGTCTCTAATGAACCCAAAGCTTATGGATTCATCAGCAAGGCTGACTGGCTAGCTCCCTAGAACTGCCTGCCTCTGCCCTTGCTGGAATTACAGGCATTTGTGGCTAGCTGGCTTGCCTGTTAGCCCATGCCCTGCCTACTAGCCCATGCCCTCGATGCTCTCTTTCTCTCTGTTTTTCTCTGTTGCTCTGTCTTCTTTTGACAGGGTCACTGTGTAGACCAGGCTGGCCTTGAATTCAGAGTTCTACCTACCTTTGCCTCCTGAGTATTTGGATTAAAGATGTAAACCACCAAACCTTGTGTTTTGTGTTTTTGAGACAGGGTCTTTCTATGTAGTCTTAGGTTACCCAGAACTTGCTATGCAGTTCAGACTGGCCTTGAATTCACAGAGATCTATCTCCCTGCCTCTGCCTCCCTCCTGTACCATCATGCCTGCCCCCCCCCCTTAACGTGGGTGCTGGGGATTCCAACTCAGGTCCTCTTTAATCTTTAATTTTTAACTATTTTTTGTTTATGTGTATATGAGTTTTTGTGTACCACACGAATACAGGTGCCCATGGAAGCCAGAAGAGGATGTTTGATCCCTAGAAACTGTTGTTATAGGCAGTTTCGAGCCACCTGAAGGGGTGCCAGGAACTGAAACCAGGCCCTCTTTAAGAGCAGTAAGTGCTCTTAACTGCTGAGTCTCTTCAGCCCCTAGAATCCATAAAATTTTTAAAATGATTTGCTTGTTTGTTTTTTTTGTTTTTCGAGACAGGGTTTCTCTGTATTGTTTTGGAGGTTGTCCTGGAACTTTCTCTATAGTAAAAATGATTTTTTTTTTTTAGTTTTTCGAGACAGGGTCTCTCTGTGTAGCTGTGAAGCCTATCCTGGCACTCGCTCTGGAGACCAGGCTGGCCTCCAACTCACAGAGATCCACCTGCCTCTGCCTCCCGAGTGCTGGGATTAAAGGCGTGTGCCACCTACACAGTAAAAATGATTTTTTTAAAAGATTTTATTTATTATGTATACAACATTCTGCTTCCATGTATATCTGCACACAAGAAGAGGGCAACAGATGGTTGTGAGCCACCATGTGGTTGCTGGGAGTTGCTGGGAGTTGAACTCAGGACCTCTGGAAGAACAGTCGGTGCTCTTAACCTCTGAGCCGTCTCTCCAGCCCAGTAAAAATGATTTTTATTTGCTTTATATTATGTAAACAGCCAGACTGGTGGCACACACTTTTAATCCCAGAACTTAGGAGGCAGAAGCAGGAGGATCTCTGTGAGTTGAGGCAGCCTGGTCTATAGAGTGAGTTCCAGGACCAGGCTCCAAAGCTACAGAGAAACCCTGTCTCGGAAAAACTAACTAATCATAATTTGCTTCAAGTTATTTTAAGATTTAAGTGTGTGTGTGTGTGTGTGTGTGTGTGTGTGTGTTATCGACGAGTTTCATTAGGGCTGTTTTCTGGTTGTGGGTACCTTAATAGTTGTTATACTACTGAAGATAATGATGTCTCTTCACCCCTAACTATAGATACTTGGGGCTTGGTCAAAGAATAGTGTGAGACTTCCCCAAGCAGACCCAGTATGCTTTGAGTTTAAGAGAGCAGTGGCCATGTCATGCCCTGAATAATGTCCCACAATAGTCCACTCCTTCCTCCAGTTCTTAGATCCTGGAACTCAGAGATCCACCTGCCTCTGCCTTCTGAGTGTTGGGATTAAAGATGTGTGCCACCACCACCTGGCCAGTTCTTAGATTCTTTTTGCTCCCTCTTCATGGATGTATTCTCAGCATTGTTGGTGATATGAATAGATGTCCATTTATGACTCTGACTCACAGAGATCCACCTGTTTCTACCTCCCAAGTGCTGGGATTAAAGGTGTGTGCCACCAAGTGGTCTTTCCTTAATTTTTTAAAAATTAATTATTTTATGTATATGAGTGTTTTGCCTGTGCACTGCATGCCTATAATGTCCCGAGGAGGCCAATAGAGGACATCAGATACCCTGGAATTGGAATTACAGCCAGTTGTGAGCCATTATGTGGGTGCTGGGAGTCTGACCTGTGTCCTCTGAAACAGCAGCCAGTACTCTTAACCACTAAACCATTTCTCCATCCTCCTTTCTTCCTTTTTGCGGGGAGGGCAGGAAGGGAGGGAATTGAAACAGAGTTTCATACTGTTGCCCTGACTGGCCTGGCATTCACTTTGTTGCCCAGGCTGGCCTTGAACTTAAAACTGTGATTCTCCTGTTTTCGCCTCCTTAGTTCTGGGATTACAGACAAGAGCTACCCAGCCACTTTTTTAGTTTCTTACTTCAATCACATGGTGTTATACCCTGCATTCTTAGAGTTTTTCCTCCAACTGCAGCTCACTTTTGTTGGTTAGAAAAGGTTTATAGGTCATTGTCTTAATTACCCCCCCCCCATTTTAGCCTAGAGACATTTGTTGATTATCAGCTCTATGTCAGGAATTGTGTTGCTTATTACATAGGAGCCATGTCTGGGCACAGGGCTGTAATTCCAGCTATGTAGGAGTCTGAGGTAGAAAGATTGCAAGTTCAAGGTCAGTCTGTAACATTTAATGAAAATGAAAAGTATAAAAAAAGGCCAGAAATACAGCTCAGTGGCAGAGTGTTTACCTAGCATATGTTCATTTTCTAGTACTGAAAAAGGAAAAAGGGAGGTATGTGAGATATATAAGTAAACTTTGCTGCTGAAAAATCAAATAGGGTATTTGAGACCAGTGCAAGGTGATGGCATAACCTGTAATCCGAGGCAGATCTC